ATTATCAACTCATTCCCAACTGGAGATCTCTTCTGGCCCTGCTCTATGTAAATGTGGTTGAGGCTGCATTCCAAGCGAGGGTATTTTCTGGTATCCCCTGAAACAAGTGATTCATTCCGCTCAACGAAATGGAAAGCAGGGGAAATTAGGAAACAAATTTTTTTATTTTTATTCAAATATACATTGGCTGCCATTAGGTGTAGAATGGAATGGAATGCTGGGGCTGGTTAGGCCAGCCGCCTAATTAGCAGCAGCACCAAAATCGATCATACCCGTACCCCCAAAAGTTTCACTTTCTGTCTGTGTAAAGAACCGTCTTGTCTTTTGGCCTGCATACAAAACAAGGCCTAAACAAGTTACATTGCATCGATTAATGCGCCATTTAGGCATTGACTAATTGGCAAAAGATTTCACTCTCTTTCCCAATACTCACGGGGAGGCTTGCTCGCTCGCTCACGTGCCGCCCATCGCCCATCGCTCTGCGGACTCTTAAACCTTGCTGAAAATAGTCACTAAAATAAAACAATTGCCTAGCGTAAATGAACTTTAAACAATCAGAGGAGCAATCCGATGAAGAAGAAAGATTAGACATTTCTTTAGTTGAGTGTTAAGACTATTGAATGCCCATCAGTTAGATTAAGGGGCAAAATATTGAAGAGAATGAGGTGAAGTTACCCTGTTCCCCCGTTTGATCTGTAATAATAATCAAATTATTTTGAGTATTGTTGTTAAGGTAGATAATATTATAAATCCAGATAAAAACTTGCTAAATATTAGCTGTGCATTTGATCAGTGCATTTTGGTCGATTTCCAGCAGCTTAAAGTGCAAAAAACTTTTTGTTGTTTTTTCTTTTAAATATTTGCCAAAGTTTTAGAAATAATTTATAGGCTCACTTCCTTTTCCTTGTTACAAATACCCCAATGAATGAAATAAACGCCTGCGCTCTACAAGTGCCCAGGGTATGCAAACGAAATGCAACAAAGCTAGCAAGAAAATGCGATTTATTTTGAGCTTCAAGTGCAAGTCGTCCCATACGAAGATCGAACAAAACAAAACACTTGATGAATGCAGTTTGACAGCAGCAAAAGAAGCAGAAACAGAGAGGCAGGCGCCAAGGAAGGTGCAAAAACCAAACTAACAAAAAGAAAATAGTGAAATGAGAACAAATGGCGCATTTTGCGGGTGAGTATCGTATCGTGTCTTTTTTTTTCCTTCTGGTTATTTCTTTTAGTTTATTTTAAGTGTTCCCCTCTCCTGCGATGCGATGCGATGCGGGCACACACCACACAAATGAAAACAAATTAGCTTAGGTTGCATTTACAGCCGGCTGGCTGGCTGGCTGGCTGGGAGGGCAGAGGGTGATTGTTGTTAATTTTATAAACACCACACACAAAAAAAAAAGCCCTCAACCTTACCCATTCACACATTCACCCCCAGCACCATGCACCGTGCACCATTCCCCCCTATCCGCCCTGGTAACAGCAACAGCCACAAAAATGCAGTTGGTCACACCACCGGACGGACAAAAAGACAACATCAATATGTGTAGCAGCAGCAGCAGCAGCAACCACCAAACCGGCACAATCCCAATCAGGCAGCAGGGCAGGCAGCTGCAGTCCCGTCAGTAGGCGGGAAACGGGAAACCCAAGTGGAAGATGAATATAGGGAGAGAATCGGGAATACATATGTACTATGGGCTCTGTCTGGATCCATGGATCCGTGGATCCACTATAACGAGAGAAACATCTGTCGCAGCATTTGCATTTTACGTGGAAAAAGAGTCTTTCCGCTGAATCAAACAGAAAGGCAGATAGATAGAGAGAGAGAAATAGAGGGAGACCGACCACCGATAGACGGAGAGAGAAGCAGCAAAACGGTAGCGCGGATGGCATTGGAAAACACCAACCTAGGAAAATATCTTCATCATCATCATTATCAGCAATGGGGAGTGTGTGCTGCTTTTTTGTAAGTTGCAAATGTGTTTGTGTTATTTTTACATTTCCGCTTCATACAAAAATATTTACGTTGCGCAGCCCTGCCAACCTTCCTCATTAAACATTCCGATCGCACGCACACACACACACACGCACAGAAAGAGGAAGGAAGGCAGTCCCTCTACCGGGTATCTGGCAGGGCAGAGGGCACGGGGCCCTAGTGCAACGGTTAGAGATGTGCAAGATGGAATGCTACACGAGTTGACATATCGATGGGATCCCCCCACCATACACAACAGGTTTCCTTAACAAATTCAAATGCAACACCTTTGATAGGTTGTTTGGATTAGTTGTTCGTAACTGTACCACATACCACAAAGCGTAAAACCGGAACAAATGCAACCAGATAAAATCGTTGAGACTAATTGGAAGAAGGACATTGGTTTTTGGTAGTTCAGTCGCATCAGCGTAATTTTGCTTTAATTGATTTTCCTAAAGCAATTGTTCGCTGTATTTGCGTGTTGTTCATTCATAAACAGCTGTTGGACAGAATAAACAGCTGCTCTGCAAATAATCAAAACTAAAACTGGGTCATTCTTAACGAATCAAAATCCCATTCATGCAAACCATTCATGTATTTTATTTACTTTATACCTCTCTAAAAGGTTTTCCTTGGTACAGTTGCTGTGCCCGTCTGTCTATTTCTGTGTAAACTAATTTGCTTGCATCTACCTACAGGAGATTCGAGACCATCCTTTTATTTAAATTATTTAAAAACTACACATCTTCGAAATGCTTCACTTTTGGGAGCCCCTGTTAAGGTCGCAGGCCAGGCCCCCCATCTCTAGACGCAGTCTGCTGCTTCCGCTGCTGTAACGAGCGCAGCAGCAGAGCAGTGGAGACGCAGAGGCAGAGCGCGCAGACAACCCACACAAGCGCACGCATAGAAAATTGTTGTACAACAGAATTTTGGGGCAGGCAGAGCAGAGCAGAGAAGCAGTGAAGCTGATATTTGCCTTAATTTTTAGTTAATAATTTACCAGTATTGTTGGTTTTTGTTGCTGCTGCTGCAGATGCTTTCGTTGTTCTTATTGCCGACGTGCTGCTATAATCCAATTAGGTGTGTATGTGTATGTTTGTTTGCTGCACAATTGCAGTTATTTGCACACCGACACCACGCACACAGAGCGACGAAGAAGCACTAATAATTAAATACCAAAAAATCTTGTCACCAACAAAACGGATTTCGAGTTTTGTTTTAAAATAAAATTTCACCAACAACTTTGTTGTGTCTCGGTCTTGTTTACTGCGGGGGGCTCGGAGCAATGCTATGCTGCTGCATTCGCTTGTGTATTTTTTTGTGATTAGACGCGACTATGCTGCCCATTCAACATTCCACCGACACTTTATGGGTATTCTCTTTCACTCGAGCTACAGCTGAGGGTATACATCAAGTTTTGGGCTAGCGAAAAGGACATGTTTCTTGCACTCGCGTAAAAATCGCACATAAATTATAAAAATAAAACCTGCACGACGCGCACACACGTCCGACTTTGATTGTTCCCGAATTTTTTTTGTTTTGTTTTTTGGTTTTGAAACCAAGTGTGACCGCGGATTTATCGGATAAATATCCGGCGGACCCTCAAAAATATACCGAAATATACCGTATAATTTTTATAATATACCGTAAATATACCGACGGACACGACAAGATGTGTTAATATTCCTCGATTTTGAAGTTCGGTTTAATATTACCAACTAGTTAGGAGTTTAAAAACTGAAAATATCATTTTATAAGCTAGATGAATCAATTTTCTACAATCTGGCTTATGTTAGGGACTTCCATTAATTGGATTAATTATTAAATAAGGTTTGAACAAAGGTCAGTAAAAATTTTTATTTTTGTGAACGGTAACTACACTTTTGCTACATATGACACTTTGTATACCCAATTGGGAAAATTTCTTTTCAATATTGTTAACTTCTGCATTCCAATTGAACCACAGCAGCTAAAGCTGCTGTGAAACCTAAGTAACAATGAATTTACTTGTATTGGCCTGTTTTTTCTACAAGATTGGCTAGTTTTCAGAAGTCCTTTTTATTGCATTGTTTACATAAAAAGGTTTAAACAAAAACGGTTTATAAAACGTAAATGTTGACTAAATGTGACGTCATTGTTGCTGGTCAACCAAGGTTATTCTATGTGTATGGCTTTTGTATACCGTATTTGATATGTTTTTTACCTATTAATGCATATATTTTGTGTTTTATAAATACATTTATCCCGGTTCTGATACCTGTTATTGGTACCCGTGAGCTGCAATTTTTTCTTAATATTTTTAAAGCAGAGACTGAGTAGTTTCTGCATTAATTGGAGCCTGATATTAACAACCATATCTCAAGTCCATAATATCCATTTTCGCAAGGTATGCAGATTATTGCTCATTCCATGATGCCTATTCATTTCCCCATTTTGCTGAAAAATTTCCCATACAAATCAAATGTATCTTACGGGACCGAATTCCACCACGATTTGAGAGCAAAAAATGTAGTATTTTTTTTGAGCTAAATGGGGTTTGGCGGTCATTTTGAAAAGTATATACTGACGGACACGACCAAATGCCCCTTTGTTACATGGTAACTACACGGTAACTACACAACTGCTACATAACAGTAAAGTATTGGTAGACTATAGAGCTTTGTATGCGCTGTATACTTGAATTAATGTTTAAGTTCTGTCTTACAGGGTGTTTTAAGACTAGATATTCTATTTCTGTATACCTATCCAGTATACAAAGAAGTCATAGAACCACAAAATAACGCTGTCCAACTTTTTTTTTCAATAATGAGAGATTGATCAAAAATCATGTTCCTGTATTTTGACATTAGTTTAATGCCACTAGCTAACTAACACTGAATATACTAAGATGGCAAACGTCCTCTTAAATCAACATTATAATCTTTTCTCAAGTGTAGTGTCTTACGACATTATCGATGTATATGGCTTAAAAACAATATCGGTATTTGTGTGATAGTCGGATTTATTTATTTATAATTTATTTTAAAAAAATTTTCGATAAACAAAAAACTAGTAATGTGGTAAGCCGTTAGGAAACTCTTTTAATTTAAATGATTGAAGTCCTCCTGTGACCTTTATTTTCGGATGTGGCAGCGCTGTGGAACGCAAAGTGAGCTACCAGACTTATATAACAAAATTTATTATTTTTATTAACAATAGTTTTAACGGAAAAGCGGGAGGACCATACTACTTCTTCTTCTTGATAAAGTTCATGTACTTCTTGGCATTGAAGTTGTCCTCCACCTCCTCCATAATCCTGACCTTCTTGCGCGGTTTACGCGCCTCCAGGCGGGACCTTCGCTCGGCGTCCGACAAAGTGGTCAAATCCAAAGGCAACTAAAACAGAGCAGTGAAATCAAATGCATTATATTTAACTAATGATTGTGCACCCACCTTGATGATTTTGCGTGGCTCGTGGTAGCGGATATTAATAGTGGATCCATCCGGCTGGACGACGACCGTGGGATACAAACGGCAGTAGACGGAACGATGCAGCCTGGTCACCGCTGTCGTGGCTGAGGAAATGCAGCGCAGCTGTTGCACAGCCTGTGGCAACTGTTTCAGCAGCATTCTTATTGATAATCACAGTCAAAACAGCTAATAAAAGCAGAATTTAGTCCACATGCGAGAGTTATGTTTTGCACAGCTGATAGTGGGTACCAGGGCTGCAGTCCATCGTTGGTTTGTGCGATGGTTTTTCTGACCATATCGATATAGTATAAATTGCAATGCAGCATCTGCAACTGCTCCAATCCTAAAAAAGCGCATTGAGTTTATAAATTTGTGTACCACTTTATAATTAAAAATTATTTGATTAGTTTACGATGTCGATGTTTCGATGGTTGGGAACCAGGGCTGCAGTTGCATAACATCTATCGTCTTTGATATTTTCAAGGGAAAAAACATCGTACTCAAAAAGTGTAAGTGCTGGCGCAGAGGCGTAGAATTCTTAATTATCCGTAGAAATTTAAGTATGTCGGAAATAACTAACTTAAAATACTTGAGTAATGTGCAACGGAACTTGCTTAAACTAAATGGTCATTCGATTGTGGGGAAATCCAAAGGAATACACACTTTTTCCACCCCAACAAGTCGGAGGGTGCTGCTGCAGCGAAATTACATAATTTTTGCACGCATAATTTTCAGTGGATTGGAAACAGCATAATATATAACGCAGCAGATGGGACTCGAGCAGCAAAATCCAGAGAAACTATTTAGCTTGAGACATTTCGTCTGGGCATTAATTTTACATTTCCACTTTGAGAACCTAACCTCATCTGTTTTCTGCTTTTGTTGGTTTTTTTCAGTATTTGTGCTACAGAATGGCCGCTCGCCGCATCGCCCAATCCTCGATTAACTGGTCCGCTCTGGCCGAGCGTGTGCCCGCCAACCAGAAGACCAGCTTCGGCGCCTTCAAGACCAAGTCGGACATCTATGTGCGCGCCGTGATGGCCAATCCCGAGTGCCCACCGAAAATCGATTGGGCCCGCTACAAGGAGTTGGTGCCCGTGGCCGGCCTGGTCGATAGCTTCCAGAAGCAGTACGACGCCTTGACCGTGCCCTATCCCCAGGACACTGTTTCGCAGCAGGTGGATGCCCAGATCAAGGAGTCGCAGTCGGAGATTGCTTCTTACAAGAAGGTCTCGGAGCAGCGCATCCAGAACTACCAGAAGGAGATTGCCCATCTGAAGGCGCTTCTGCCATACGATCAGATGACCATGGAGGACTACCGCGATGCATTCCCCGACAGCGCACTGGACCCCATCAACAAGCCAACCTTCTGGCCCCACACACCCGAGGAGCAGGTCGGCTACAAGTCCAAGGAGCAGATCGAGGCCGAGAAACAGGGACACCATTAAGTGACCCCCGCCCCTCAAGCGAGAGCGCGTCGATTCGAAATGTAAATCATGTTAACGTAAATTACACAAATTAAAGTCATTTCAAATGAAATTGATTTTGTTTTGCGGCCCGCTGTATATTCTGTTTACTATACAGAAAGTATGTCAATCCTTTTGAAGATTTATAAACAGACTTCAGAAGACAAGGAAGGAATTTCTACCTATAAGATCGATGTACATTTGTTGCTTGTATTCCCCATACGTACTGGGTGCTGGTTTCCACTATACTTATACTCTCAGCTGGCTGTCAATTGTCCCGCATTTGAGTGGTGGCTTCTACGGCGACAAGATCTGAGCAAATGCAGCGCTTGGAAGAAGGAAGCACTGAGTCTGTGACAGTGGTAGGGACTGCTGGGGATAGGGCTGGACGAGGCTTTGCTGAGTTAAGTAGCTGCTAGTGGACACAGCCGGAGTGTCAACATTAATGCGGAGCATATGCATAAATCCATTCGAAATGATCAGAATGCGCTCGGGGCAAAGCAGATTGATTTGGATTGGCTGGAATCTGGGATCTGTTTCAGTCGAGGAATACTTAGTATGCACAGTCAAATGGCAATTCAGGCAGTGCGCGTTGTAGAAGGAATCCGCTGAAGAAGTAGTGTATAAATTAGAAGCATTCTATTCAATGATTGATTGATTGATTAAGTTTTTTGCACTCCAAACAACGACGCTTCGGAACTTCTTTGATTTAGATATCTTTGCTCTCCTCCGTGGCAGTGCCATGCACATGGCTGACGGTCAAGCCCTGGCATCATCCAGTTCGAGGACACCGAGGGCAGCAACCGAGGGCCGAACTGTGCCCATCAGGTCAGATATTCCTGGACATCGGCCGTGCCTTTTCCTCTTAGCCAATTTTTAAATTTACTGACTTTCATTAGAGCTGGACTATCGGAACTATCGATTGTTTTTTGTGCACTAAATGAAAATACGCAACAAAAATATCGATACAAATATACAGTTTGAAGCAGACTGGGCTGGCAACATGAGTAGAATTGGGCAACATGACCGATCGTGTCTTGAGTGAGCTTAATTTGGTTTGAGCGTGTTTGCATTTTGATTGTTTTTTCCAAACTCAACGATACTCAAGTCCTTTCCAAGTCCTTTTAGAGGGTTTTAATTTAAGATTTTTATATATTCAAATATTGTTTGTTTTGGACTATTTAAAATTTTGTTGGGAGAGAAATCTATCTGAAATATGTAAATATGTAAGCATACATATGTACATACATGTTTAAGTTAAGATACATTATTTGACCTCACTCTATATTTGATATTATTTTTCGAAAATATTCCTATATCCTACATCCTTCCTAATACCAGGTATGAGTATCTACTCTTGTAAAATGGAAAAAAAACTCAAATGAAAAACTCACTCGAACAACACGACGACCAATATGATTCATTCATTCATTCGATCGTTCACAGCGTCCACGGCGTCCACAGCGTTCACCGTTCATTCGCAAACGAAACGAGTTGGAGTGCAAACGTGCCAAGCGGAAGATCAAGTTGTATTATAGCCCGGAGTGGGAGATCACACTGTAGTGTCTCCAGCAACAACGCCAAGATTACAAAGTTGAATAAAGTTAAAATTTGCAGTAATATATCGAATAAAATGCACGTGACGGGTGCATGTCAAACCCAATAATTTGCATAGAGCTGTCCAATCAGTTAACCCACTTTCTAAACGACACCGAAGAAAAGAAAAATATACAAAAATCGACCGAAAATTCAAGCAACAACGAAACCAATTAACAAGCTTATAATATTGAGTAAATAACAGAAGAAGCAAGTGATTCAGAAAGAGATATTGTTTACTTCTAAGCTCTAGTTTTTTTTTAAGTCTTCCAAGTGAAGTGCCTAACAAATTCGAAAGAAAATACTCACGCTAAATCGTTCTCTAACAACACCGCAAAAAGTGAGAAAAGCTGACTGGAAAACGCACGGGAAACGACACTGATACCGGAACGCGTCTATTCCTGTCCCTCAGCCGAGCACCCCCGTCGCCTGTCAGTCAATTGAAACCGCAACAGCAGCAGCAACAGCAACGGCAGCAGCAGCAGGCAGAAGCAACAATCTGCAGCACTGTGTAAGTTACACCAAAAACAACAGAGAGAGAGAGAGAAGAGCCTTTGGCATTCTCCCTTTTTCGATGTGGCTCCTAACAAACGAGTTAACCAGCCAAAGTTAAAACGAGCAACCTCAACGCGTTCAATAGGATACGCCAAATCCAATCCCAGTCCCACAATCCCGATCCAAGCCAAAAGAATGCTGACATTCATGGCTCGACTAGGGGATACCCTAATTGCTGTTCAGATTAAAAGAGTATTTGCACAGTGACCGTTTTTCTTCTTCTTAATTTGCGATCCCGAACCCGATCCTATTCGATCTACCTGGAATTTATAGCAGCTCTGTGTGTTTGGTGAAAGCTTTCTTCTGCCTAATACACTCTACTGTATACTCTGCCATTGCCGGGGGTATAAGCCACAATGAAATATCTTAAACGGATCTCGAAGTCGGCGGGGCCCTCCTGTCGGTAGGTCGCCGCTGCATGCTGGCATATTTCATAATCTGCTGCTGGCTGGCAGCATAATTTTTAGCACCTTAAAACTTGCTCTCTGCCGCGTCGCGTCTTAGTCTCGCATTTCACCAGCACACACACACCCAAGGCAGCCATAATTTCTTTGGATAATTATTACCCGTCTGGGCCCGTCTGATTTTATTTATTTTGTTGTTGTAGCTGACTATGTGAAATTTTTTGCGTGGATTTCGGTTTTCGCTCATCGTTTTTGCTGGCTTTTCTGCTCGGTTTGCATAAACACCTAGCGGATATTTTAACTAAAATATATATTTATTTCTCAGCTTAAATACTTAATTTAGGAAATTTATTTTGCAACTTTCCTCTAAACATAGCAGCGGAAGCGCCGAAATATTTACGTTATTCGATCTCAGCCCTGCAATTCATTTGTTCATGCATTTTTTGTTGTTTTTGTTTTTTTGGTAATATTTTTTGTAAGCGTTTTGGGTTTCAGTTATACAATAAAAACGAGTTGCTTGGGAAGTCTTAGGAATGCAAATCAGTAATTCGACCTGCCTTAGGTAATGCAAGCTCTGACCGATCTGGCAAGTGATAAACTACTCGCATATATTCGTACGAGTATTCGATATGAGGTGACTCAAATCGATTGACGACAGCCAGTGGGAATTTCCCGCGTGACTCAAAAGCGAAAAGCGTTCTGCCAAATGAATGTCCTATTGGGTCCATTTTGTACACAGCTAATGCACTTTCCCTGGAAGAACTTGTGTGGCTGTGGTGCACATGTTTTAAAATCGAATTGAGAATGAATTTCCCTCATTTGTTTTATGATACAATTTCTTAGGAAAAAGTGCTGCACTAGAAAATTGTCTTTGGTTTCAAATCGAGGCTAAAATGATTTGTATCTATATTTTATTGCCTTACAATCTTTAGTTTTTCTCTCTTTTATGGCTTTTTAAGGCTTTCTTCATTTATGAGCACCTGATTTCTGTTGCCCCCGCCACCCTATCCACCATCTTCGACGGGCTTGTCATTGTCCAACGCCATCCGAGACGTAACTCTCAAGCAATTGCCATGAATGAAATTCGCATTTCATTGCAAACGCCTCGTCGATTGACTGCAACAACTCAGCCGGTGGCCGGTTTTCACATTTGTGTGTGTGTGTGTGTGTGCGTGTGTTGGTGTAGTGCATCAGGTATCTGTATCTATGTGTGGCTTGGTGTGGTTTTCCACAATCAACGACAATAGCTACGCACGTTCGCAAACAACAAAAAAATTTACAAAAATGAAATAAAAAGAAATTGTCAATAAAGTGCCAAAAGGAGACAACGCATAAAACAAAAAAACGAACACAAAAATGGCCAGAGGGGAAACGTGTTCCAGCCCAGCCCAGCCCATACCATACCATACCATCGATCGAGTGCAACGGCGTTGTCCGTTGTCCATTTGCCGTAAAATTTGTATTAACTATTGGCTAGATACATTCGTACTTTCACAAAAACTCGTTCGAACAAATGGCACAAATATGAGCATTTTATTTTGCCCATTTTTGTCGTACCGCACCATTTTTTGTTTGTTTTCGCGAGATTTTTCCCGCATTTTGTAGTCGCTTTATTAGCAACGGTGCCAGTCGCAAAAAAAAAACAAACCAAGACAAGAAGGCACAACAAACAGAAGGCAAATCAAGCGAGCAAACAAGAAGTTTGTAAACGGTAAAAATGCATTTCGGCACGAACTTTGGGAGTGCGGGTGTGTCTGTATGTGTGTGTGTGGGGTGGGAGGGCCGTTACGCAGTCTCTTGGCGGAGTTTAAATGCTAAAAGAAATAAACTCAACTGAACCGAACTGAACAATAATTATGCACATTAAAGCCGGACTCCAACTTTCCACTTTTCCATTGACTGTTTGGCATTATCAAGGCACGCATTGGGTTTTTGTTGCTGTTGTTTGTTGTTGTTGTTTTCATTGTAAACCAAATATGTATTATAATTGTTGTTTGTTTATTACGAGTACGAGTACGAGTACGGGTCTGAGCTCCATTGCTGTTTGCATAATAATCGAAATGAGGCGGCTTAAACCTTGACTGTAATTTATTTTCTGTCTGTGGTCAGTGTTTTTCTTTTCATACTTTTCCCCAAGCTTTATATTTTCATTTTTCATGTTTTTTCCATCTCATGCTGGGCTGGGAGATAAGCGAAACTTGATTGATTAAAGACGAGTTGAGGGCGTTAAGATATGGCAGCTCTGGGACTGTGACTGCGACTGGGTCTAGGTCTCGCTGGGGGGTATGGGTATCTGTCTCTTATCTGTTGCTCGGCTGCAGGTGATTTATCATCATCCTTTATCACTTTTTGTTCGTTAGATATACAGCAGTCAAAGATTTTGTGATACTAAAGTGTTTTTCATTGCTTTAAGAAAATGAAAGAAAAAATTTAAATTTAATAACAAGTTTTTTCCTATGATTGAATAGCTTCGAAGAGTGCTCAAACCATAAACAGGGAGAGAAATATTACTGGGAGTTAATGTCAGAGATTTACAGATCCGTAATGGATATGAAACTGTAATCAAATATTTTCTTGGCAAAAAAAAATAAAAAAATGGGGTTTTCGTTAAAAATTCTTACAGTATTTATATATTCCCAATATAGGTATATTCTCCTAATTTTAAAGAGCATATGCTCATTCCAATAATATGGAAATGATACGCACTGTCTCTGTGCTACAACCATGCGTTTCCGAATCTTGAAAAGTTCCGTTTCCTCTCCAACACCTTTGACAAAATAAACAATAACTCAAGAGACCCAACAATGATCACTTCTTTCAGTAAATCATCTTGTTATTCAGTTTCTCCCTACCTCCCTCCATCTCTCTCTCTCTATCGCTCTTTCGCTGTCCCTCTCTTTGGCTATCTTCTTCTCCATTTTTGTTGTGCGTCAAGCTGGCACGACAGGCGGCGGCGGCGGCCGGGAGAAAGTTTTTTCTCTTTCTTTGCCAAACTCGAAAAATAAAAGCAAAAAAAAATTAACGCTACAAAAATTTAAAGCTCAAACAAAGGCCAGAAAACGCAACAAAACTTTTAAGTGTGCAATGCAAACAAGTGGTTATATATCTACTATATCTCTATATAGACACATGTATTTACAGTGTGTACCGCATGCATACATCCACCCGACTTATATAAGACAACGATGTTAGAGCGAAATGGGCATTAAAAACGCATAACAATTAATTGTGTTAAAAAACAATCGACTCGGCGACGACAGCAAATGAATCAAAAGTGGATGACACTCTGCAGGTGTCCACCCAAAATCCATCTGCAAAACCAGACCCACCTCCATGAGGAAAAATGGCAAACAGCTTGACAAATGATTTGTTTTCGCTGCTGTTTTTCGTCTGTCTCTGGAAACACATTCCACGCATTGTCATAAAAGTAAATTGCTTAATTTATGCCGCAAATGTGTCGTCGAGGGGGCAGGTGCAGAGTGTAGACATGCGGCGAGGCGACACTTTCTACGAAGCCGCACCTAAGCGCAGACGCGCAGCTCTGAACGCGGTTCTTGCGTAAGCGCGACTTTAAACGCATGCAAATCGCGTGCATCGAAAGCAGCAGCAGAGTCGCAGCGGAGAGTCAACATCAGAGTTGACCCGAGGTCAAGCAAGCAGAAGCAGTGTCTCCATAATTAACTGATAAAAGCCAATAATTGAAGTAGACCCTGTGGAGGGAGGAGAGTGAGAGTTCTCCCCCAATGGAACAAATCGATAGGAAATTGTAAATAATTGTGGAAAAACTTTGAAGGGCCTGTGTTGACCCTCATTATTGCTTTATCAGCGGTGAGGAGGGGAAGCTCTTTTGACAGTCTGCAATTTATGCTATGCTGGGAAATGGGAAAATTCTCAAGTGCCTTGATTTCGTTTCACTCAGTGACGCCCGAAAACCACAGAAAGCACGAAAAAGCCACAGAATTTGGAATTCCATTTTCATTTCTATTTTTGGTGTGCTGCCACTGCCTTAACCATAATTTATCTGTGTGTTTTTGGGGGTAGAGAACTGCGAGAGTGAAGCGATTTCAATTGGAGAATCTGTTTGCCAGATAAATATTTATATTTCACATGGGATATTGATTCAACAACACGAAAACTCCATAAAATTCACACAGAGGAGATGTATCTGTATCTGCGTCTGCATCTGGTGCTGGTGCCGGTTCATGGGTGCTAATGTCATTTCAATTATATTCAGTAAAAGTAATTTGGGCAGAGAAAGAGCAGAAGAGAAGGTGAGAAATGAGAAATGGAAAATGAAAGCGTTCTTAATTGCCAGAGCAGACGACACGGCATTGTAAAATAATTTTCAGTTGTTTCAGTGATTTTTCTCGCCCGGCTTTTTCGCTCCCTCACCGCCACAATTTTACTTGGTAATATTTATGGGCCACCTCCTCTGATGCATGTACATGAGGGAGCCACAGAAAAAAAAAACAAAAAAAATAACCAATCCTCGAATCAAATTGAAAATTTTTGTGCGCATGCGCAGCGTCTGCGCACGCCAATCCAAGCCCAG